CGTGTACATACTTAAAAGCGCTATCTCTTATCCTATTACTCAAGCACACAACTCGCTCACGTGTCGCATTAGCATGACCAGGGTGATTCACCTAACTGGACGGCCTTGAATTACTGGCAAATCGTCGCTGACACGGGAAAGTCGCTGGAGTACAATTTGTCTGCTATCGACGGGGTAATTTACTTATCGCAATCTTGCCTTTTTTCCATACAAGGCAGGTTCCCCTTCGGGGTTTTGAGTTGAGTCACGACGGAGGCAAGATCAAGGGAAGAGCGAACGACCATTTCGAATTCAGACCTCGCATCCTCCTCATTGGAATTCCCGACGCTGGACGACCGGGCACTCGGTGTTTATCGAAAGTGGACCCACCATTATCCTATGGTCGCTGCTCCTAGTCAATAGGAACGTTCAGAATTATTTTGAAGATCAACTTCTTTGAGCCTCTGAGCTAGGTTACGAACTAAACGGAATTGGTTGTTCTTTTTAAACCTAGCTTGGAAGAATAAATCTTTCATGCACAGACGCTAAGGAAATGTTTTTGTTCGCAGGCCCTGGGTCAGGATGTTCTACTGGGGACCAAGGAGGAGGAATGGAGCAATGTGCTGTGCGTTCGAGACAAATCCTCGCTAGGTGTCGTATTGAGGGATCGTCTGATGACCGATGCAGCGCTCGGTGGTCCACGACCGATCAAGTCCGAGCACAGTTACAGCCTCCTGACGTCCAGCCCTCCGCCAAGCCCAGCGACACCTGGCGCCAACCCTCACACACCTAACTCCGGCTCATCCTCCGATACGGTCGGCGCATCCCTCTCGAATACCAGTTCCTCTATCGACCCTAGCGCCATGGATCACCATAAATCGTTGGACATTCGCAGCAGAATCGACGGTAAGGCTCGGGGAATCGATGGCTCATCCCTCGCGTCCATCGTTAAGGGGCATCTTCTATTACTGGGAACCTATAATCAGTCTCCGTTTCCTTAAATCCCACGGGTGGGGTCAGAGGAACTTATTTTTAGTCGTACAGGCGATGCTTTTATGGGAGTCAGTCAGACACCCTGGATAATGGAGTATAGTGTTACGGGATATCGTGGGACGACGATTTTACTAATTTCAGAGAAATGATACATTGCGGATAGTCTTCCCGCGTCCTTTGTCTAATTCATGCGACGAGCAGGCGTCATCGATCCGAAGACGACACCGTTTCATCGTGGCATTCCAAAAGTAGATAATTATTGGATCCGATTACCATCGTTGCCCCGATTTCTTTCATACGATTCTGTCATACGTACTAATGTACATAAGTATTTGCTCGTGTCAAAAGAAAAGGCAACAGTCTGGAACGCTTCGCAATGCAGCCTGTGGGTTGTCCCCATGCTTAGAAAAGTATCAAAAGCTCTATCAGGAGTCCCGGTTCGACATAAGTCGATTCTAGCCACAACATAACGAGATAATGACCATAACATAACGAGATTAGGTTTGGCAGAGTTCAAGAGCCTTAGCGGGACATCCTAAACCCATCCACCCGGTAGTTGTTCGCGTACCTGGACCTTGGGACCGGTTTGGAGAGCCAAAAATCGCAAACGATTCGATAATAAATATGCAAGACTGTGAACGTTCGCTGAAGGAAATGGTTGTCTTTGATTGCAGACATGGAAGAGGAGTGTTTCCCAGCAATTTCGATGAACACCGCCTCGGGCCGCGGTGAACTATCGTCTTCGTCGTCGTCGTCCCTATCGCCGTCGTCTACCTCAACCGTTATCCTAAAGACACCCAACGACCTAGTACCTGAAGACGTGGAATGCGCCGAGATCAAAGGCGAGCCGCTCAGCGCACCCAGTAGCCCCTCGGCGTCCTGCCAAACAACGATAGTCGACGACAAGAGCACGATAACCATGGTGTTCCCTCAGAGCCTTCATTTCTCTAAGAACCACCTGTCACAGACCAGCGACAGCGAGGAGGACGACGAAGAATATTATCAGGTAGCTTCCAATTAACTCCCCTTTCATCTTCTGTAGCTTCTACATAATGGGGATGGAGATGAAAAAATTAGGTAAAAAGTTTGGAGGACTGTGATTCGGACGATTCGGGATTTGTATGATCCAATGAAAGGTTGGCTAGTGTGTCCTATGTGACGACTATCTCTGCCTCGTGTTCCTTAGGGGTTGGACTAAACCTTACTCTATCATTACTACTGCTCAGTTTCGTACAGGCTCAAGACCTCCAAGCTCTCCAATTAAGACGAGTGTCCCATCTCCACCCCCTGGTAGAGTGCTGTCATCCAAACCGCTCGTCGTCAAGAAAGAAGAGTCACTCTATCCCCGGATGTCCTAACTCCGCTGAAATCTTTATGTTCCGAAGGCTATGGAGGTGGAGGACTACGACGGAACGGTCTGCGTTAGCAAAGAGGCGAACTCGCGTACCTCGAGGCAGGGATTGCCTCCGACACCTCCCAGCAGCGCTAGCTCCGATAGCGAAGGCACTGCATCCGCTTCCTGCTCGCCAGAACGTCGAGATTCCCAGAGTTCAGCGCACCCACAGAATCTCAGGGGCCTGCTGACACCCAGGCTGTACGTCACGAACGGCGCGCACACCACCAGGCAGCCTATCCACACACCTTTGATTTCCTGCCAACCGGTAAGCACAGCGAGATAGAAGACGCGTAGATCGATTAGCCCCTGGCGTTACATGGAATCCATTTTGCAGAAAGGGTCGACGGGAAATCTCACGTTGACCGAGGAGGAGAAGAGGACTCTGATAGCCGAGGGGTATCCCGTTCCCACGAAATTGCCACTAACCAAGCAGGAGGAGAAGTCGCTGAAGAAGGTCCGCAGGAAAATTAAGAACAAGGTGAGTCTAGGGAATCGACACGGTCCTGGTTATATCGAGGAGTGCTGGAGATGAATCTATGTGTACGTCTGGTTCTTTGTTTATCCGTCCTAACTCCATTGGAACGTGTGAATTATTTATGTGAGACCAAACCTAACAATATCTCAGTGCGCTGACATGCTGTGAGCATCAAGTGTTATTAGATGTAAATGCCTGTATAGTCCAGTTCAGACCTAACTCCAATTGAACCTCAAGTGAACCAAGTTTGAATGCCTCATTTGGACCTCGAGCGAACCAAGTATAAATGCCTGTATAGTCCAGTCCAGTCCAGACCTAACCTCATTTGGACCTGAAGTGAAACAAGTATGAGTGCTTACTGTTGGAATCCTCGCCCAAGTATGATCGAATGAGATCTACCTACCCAAATCCACGCCCAACTACATCTCAGCACCTAGAGATCGTGTGCTTAACTGCTGAGTAGAATGTGAACGTCTGCCTGAACCATCGAAGAATCTAGGAGTTAGCGTGACACTATGCCCCACGTTTCAGATATCCGCGCAAGAGTCGCGTCGAAAGAAAAAGGAGTACATGGATGGTTTGGAGAGACGGGTCACCCTGCTGACGAACGAGAACTCCTCGTACAGGGACAGACTGACCGTCCTGGAGGACACGAATCGTGAACTGTTGAAGGAGCTGCAACGTTTGCAAGCGATGCTGCAATTGCAGGTCTCCTAGATCTTTCTTCCATGCGATAAAACATTTTCGTATGAACCGAAGACTTCGAGATCGTCGACTCGGAGAGGATACTTGACGAAGAATCCAGGTGTCGTCAACGCTGGGTGGTTCTGCAGTTTCGCGAGGACTGCGAGCGCCATCCCTCGACAGAGTTCGCGAACAGTGTTGCCCCGATCGTTGATCGGTTCAATCTCGTTTGGATCCCTCGGTGAAATCCGTCTGGCAGGTGCTCGAAAGAAAGTCGTCGATACTTGGTCGAGCCTCGTTGATTTCTTTTTTTTTTTCTCTAAGTCAGAAACGAAAGTTGGGAGGGTAGCCTGTTTCCAGGGGACTCGTGCAATTCCTTTACATTCCTGTGAAGTCTTCCTTGAGCAGGGGCGGATCGAGTAAGTATTTTAGAGCGGGACCGCTGTGTAACGACCAATTTTACCTAAGATTAGCCGCGAATACGTTGGGCCGTGTCGTCTTCCCAGTTCCGTCGCAACGGAATCGAAGACGTGCGATGGAATTTAGCCGGGAGTGCCTTCATTCGTTGGTTTCGATGTTTCTTCCTTCAAATGGAGACCAGGGGAACACGTTTTGTCATTTTGTGTGAAATTTCCGATGCTTTTCGAAAGTACGATCTTGATCTACGGTTGGAATGAAATCGATTGGCTGCGCGAAGCCACTCCCGCTTTCTCGTGGCGCCATCTTGGCGGGAACGCGCGAAGTGGCCTAGAGAGGTCAGTCGATTCGGTGGCTGCGGCAAAACCACACTTCTTTCTCAAAATCTTCGCAAATACATTTACGAGAAAACGAGACGTTTAACTTCGAATTACGTTAGCAAACATTTCAGTGATAAACGAGAGAGTTCACGCTGATTAACGATAAAGTATTAAACAGTGCTTTAGCGCAATTCTCGAGCCGATTGCTCGTCGAAAGCGATGGAAACTCTTTAATTTCGTCCAAAAGTCAGCGTCCTTGCGTGGGTGTAAACGTAAACGTAGCGTATGAACTTCGAGGCGAGGAGGTGTGTTATTATTATTTTATATAGAATGAATTTGAAAATCGTGTGTGTCTATTTTCACGAGAGAGGTATATCGTATCTAGTAACTTACGTGTTAGTTTAGGTGTAACTCACTTCAGACACAAGTTTGTATATTGTACCTTGAAACAGAACCGCCGGAGAGAGGTGGTTCGTTCAAGATACTTAACGATAACGTGCAACGGCGACTACTTCGATCTTCTTCTTTTTTCTTTCAACGAAAGAGCGCGCCACGGAACGTAAGAACTACAGTTTTGTGAAAGATAGCAGCGTGGCGTGATTCTTCGTTTCAAAATAAATCGAAAATGTGTCCTGAATTTTTTTCGTACGAGGTCTTCTTCGCGAGAAAAACGAATGTGAAATAATACTTGTTCGCGCACGGGCGCTGTTTTAGCTCGCGCGACAGCCGTTGCGGCGCTTGCGTCGTGCACGCAATGGTATTAGTTCAAACTTTTAAATTTGATTTTCTCAGCAACGAGACGTCATAGAAAAAACATTCTTTCGACAATTTCTATTGATTTTTGGATGAGGAATCGTTTTCTGCACTTTTGCGTCAGAAATGACGCCACGTTCCGTTCTATTTTCGAGTTTAAAAATGTACGAATCGACTCCAGCGAGCGAGTAATCGTGATCTTACCTTCTCGTGGCACGTGGGTACAAATTTCATCGATTACCGTCGCAATTAGTGTTAAACAGAAGCATCGAGGCATGTGGTGATCGCCAATGCTGCCATTAGTTAATCGACCAACGAAAGTGTCTTCACTGAATGTTGCTATTGGGTCGAATTTTACGATAAGAAGCGCTTTTAACAAATGCAAAATTATTCGAACCGATAAGCAAGTCCACGGAAACTAGAATAAATTACGTTTTCATGTAATCGATATGGTGCACGTTAAAGTTTCGAGATCGTTTCGAATAGTGAATATTTTGTAAGAATCACTGGGACCAGTGCGCGAATCGTATTTTTCCCGGGCAGAAAATTTCCTTTCCGGGCTTTGGTGGACGATCTCGCGGCCGGGAGCGTTGCAATTGGATTTCCGCGGCGAGTTCAATCGAGTTATCGAGTTTATCGGCGAGCGTCTCGCGCAGGATCAATAAAGGTACGAAATGGCACGATTTAACGAAGCATAGAACTTGGATCGGTTTGCGAGTCGAGGCGTGAAACAGTTTGGACGAAGCACGTGCACGGGAATTGAAACGATTTTAATCGACGACTGATTAAACTGGATAAATTAATTATAGTGGATAAATTAATTTATGATTTGGAAAATTACTCAACAGGACGACCATGCGTCAACGAGATACGGAGGGTCGAAGCGATTCGAATCGAATGAATGAACCGTCAAACAAAAAAAAAAAACAACGACGTCACGCGTGTTTTTAGTGCGAGCAAAAAAGAAAGGTGCACATACACGGTGGCATATAAGCGCAGAGGAAAAAGAGAAAGAGGGACAAAAAAAAGTCTGACGATTACTTCTGCCTGTCTGAGCACATACGGTCGCGGACACTACTACTTTTCCAAGGAACGTGTTCGCGAAACGTCCTTAAAGTGACGCTGCTCGAGTGCTCGGATAGTTGTAATTTAAAGGGGATATTTTCTTCTACAGGCAGATCCACGTTTGATCCTATCGGTATTGAGGCTGCATTACCGACAGTGCGGAGCATGCGAGGCGCCATGGCGCCTATACGATTAGTACGTCAGTTGAATGCCTATTGGCGTTCTTCGCACGGGTTGGTGCGACTAAAGTAATTCTTAGAATTAGCGTTTAGCTATAGTGGTCTTTTTTTTCAACGAAGGTGTTCGACTATTATTTAAATGAAATTTTGCGTAGAATTTAAAATGATGGACAACTTTCGTACGAATTCGCCATCGCTCAGTTTTTATTCGACTTCGTCCAAACTATTTTTCGCCTAACGAAAATTCACAAGAGAAAGGCTCATACTTTTGAGGGTAAAAGAATATAGATAATCGTTCGCGGATGCCTGGCGTGAAAAAGGGGGGTCGTATTTGTGTACAAAAATGCCAATTTACGCAGTTTTACCGAGAACAGAGAGAGAGAGAGAGTGAGAGAAAGAGAGAGAGAGAGAGAGAGAGAGAGAGAGAGTTTAATATATTCTATAAATAAAGCTTTATATGAATGGTTATATATATATATTATATATATATATAAGATTGTTTCTATATAAACAGATAATATATGTATACACTGAAGAAACGTTCCACATACACATACACGCTCGACACTATGAGAGAAAGTTGGATGTGTGTTCGCACACCGACGTGTGCGTTATTCGTCGCGATTGATTTCGTTCGACGCGAGTAAAAGATGATCATTCGTAATTCATTCACCGGCGTTCGCGCGTCGCATACGTATTTCGTGTATAATTTCTCCTACGGAGACTTCTGTTGGCAAAGATGGGCAAGATCACCTGGATAAAATTTCGAATAACGAATCGAATAATAAATTATTTAAAGTAAAAATTAAATTAAACTAGATTAAATTAAATTAAACGGAATAGAAGGTATATTTTACAATTAAATTTAATCTTATCATCGGATAAACGTTGTTTATTCGTCGTTCGTTATTCGAATAAAATTTTGCCAGTCTCTGTTCCCTTTTCTTTTTCATGTGCATTGGTATACATGTTTGTCCTATTATCTTGTACGTGTAAGTGTCTACGCAATTGGCAGCGTGCCGGAAGCCACGTGGTCGATATCGCACGTGGTTTGACTTCGAACGTTTGTACGACGAGGAATAAACACACGTGACTTTAATACGGTTGGACGATTTATTTATCTCTCTTATATTCAGTGATTTTCATTCGTTTTCGCGAATATTAGGAATTTCGTTCCATCGCGGAGTCTGATGGGTCATCCTAAAATTTCATTGTTTCATGTTTGCATTATTTATGAAATGACTCGATAGCCAGTGGCAGTGTTCACGGCTGAAATTGATGGGTCTTAAAGTTCAAACGAGGACTGGAAAATGAGAAGTAGTAGGGACGCCATCGAGGAGCCCCCGGTAACTCTTTAATAGGTTCCCCGCGTAATTAAAGCGTGAATCGTCTTTGTCGGCGTCTATTCTGCTCCGGAGAGACTATCGAATCGGGAGGACGGCGAAGGAATTTTATGTAAAAAGAGACGGATGGGACGTAAGAACAGATAATTAGAGATGGAAGGAGCGCGGCACTGAAGAGGGAAACTGAAGAGGAAAATAAGTCGAAAATAGCTCGAGTATTCGAAATATCACAGCAAAATAAACTAAGTAATGTTCCTCTAAATTATTCAATTTTTCGAAGTACATTTTTCGTAGATCGAGAAATTGGACATTTTCTCTATAGCGACATTGAAATCATCGTTGTTAGGTAGTGAAGTATTAGAAAACGATTGAAATAGCTTTCTCCGAATTCATTGACGCTTCCAACGATTCCTAAAATATTTCACTGATCGATGTCCACTTCCACTTCCTCGACACCGTCTTCCACTCTGTCTCTGAGGGCGGCCAGACTGAGCGGAGCTTCCATATCAAGCACATCCTTCTCCTCCTTGCGTCTTTTTTTAGATCTGTACAGGGGATTCTCGAATCTGCCGCCGGTGGGTTCTATGATCCCTGGATCGTCGTTCCCGGGCTTTTGTTCGCTGATGCCCGCCACATCGGCGATCTGAACGTTGCCCTCGGGGATGTTCTCGAAACGAGCGAAACTAAACGGTTTGCCACCCTGCGTGTTGTCCGCGCGAACTCCCTCGCGAATGGTCGCGAAAATCTCGGTGCAGCTCGAGAGGATGCTGAAAAATTAAAAATTTCATTGACAATCTTAACAGGAGGAATCCTATTCAATTTACGATATTCGATAATAAAATAAAATGCGGGATCGATATTTTTTTGCACGTGGAATGGAATTCTATTTGACGTAAATCGGGTCACAAATTTCGCCTCTGAGTTGGCTGTCGCGAGAAATGAAGCCCTCAACTTGATTGGCCAAGTCGAGCTAATTAAATGCTACGAGCCAGCGTAAGGGTCGGGGGGAAACGCGGCGACGAAGAAATTGCCAAGTGTAAAACGATAAACTGTAAATGGGACCGAGCTCGCTGAATGCTGAGGCCGTTGCCACCGGAGTTTGGCAAATTGAAACAGTTTCTGTATACCCCTTGCGCTATTTGCATCGTATAGGCTGCTTCAACGTAGGGTAGTCGCGGGGTCATACTAAAAAAAGGAATTATATAACAGCGTACATCTTAAATATGTACATAAATAGACGTTGCACGTTTGTACACTTGCTATGAAAAATTTATTTCGTGGAACATTCTGTATTTTGCAGTAATCTGACATATAATGCTGAAATACTCTGTAGCTAGCAGTATTATGCTTTATTTTGCTGGAATATTAAGTATTATACTGTGTAACGGTATCAAGGATTACATTGTTGCTTGCTGAACTATGGTATCAGGCCATGTGCAATGCACTACGATCTCGAAACATTCTGTATTTTGCAGTATCGATGATCGAAAAGGTGACGTTAGAGCCTGACCTTGGCGGTGAATCCGTACGAGTCGGAGTTATAGGTGAAACGTTCCGGAAAAGTCACAATCAAGTTTTTCATAAGCCCGCCCTCACGAAGGCTTGTATTCGACCGACACGTGGGTGTCGAACGCAACGGGTGGGGACGGAAATAGAGACCAGCGAGGAGAACTCGATGGGGAAAAAAGTAATTACACGGAATATGAAACACGAGGCGCAGTTTGCAAGTGGCTGAACGTCCTCCAAGCTTTATATTCACTAGGCCGGAAGTCGGCGAAATTAACCTTTATCGCGCGGATGTAAGGACGCGCGTAATATACAGGGTGGAGCACTTAAGAGATGGCAATATTAAAAATCAATTTGAAGAAAAAAAAATCCTAATCATCACGGTAATATTACGTTTTGCAGGATGTTCTGTACCTTGATTGGCACCTAACGAGGTCACCTTAAATGGTACAGACCAGATATCGAGTTTGGAGATTCGAGATATTGGTTTTCTCGAATGGAACATTTTGTTGTTGCAGTTTTTTGTTGCAGAATTCGATGGAATATTGAATTTTGAGTGCAAAAGTATGAAGGTACATCTAAGCTAAGAGTAATACTTTCCAGAATACAGTGAGTCCTCGTTAAGTGTCCCAGAGGAGCGACACTTAACGAGGACTCACTGTATACAGTGTCGCTCCTCTGGGACACTTAACGAGGACTCGCTGTATCTTGGACAATATTATCTTTATGCTTCCATACTTTTATTCTCAGAATGTATCACTCTATCCATTTCTGCTAGAAAATTCAGAAAACTATCTAATAATAATACTTAAACTTACTATTTGGAAGAGTAACCGAAGTACATGAAACCGAGGAAAAACAGTAGGAGGACGACGAATGGCGACACGAGCAATGGAACCAGCGCGACGGCCACTCGATGATCTTCCACAGCTGCGCCTGTAGTCTCCGTGCTCAGTACGTCTATCTTCATAGCTGTTAAACAAACAAAGCTCATCGAAATTCCATAAAAATTGTCGGATTTTTTAAAAGGTATTTCCTAAGAAGAGCCTTTCTTCTTCGAATCATTTCTCAAGTATTTTTTACGCGTCGATATACATTTCTCTTTCAAAATAAATTATCGTATTTCACCAAGAGAAAAATGAAAAGTATATATTCAATCCAATATCAATCGGACGCAGAATGTTTCTCGCGTTTCGCGTTCGTTATTGTCGGAGGAGGAACGGGTTATTATTCTCTATTTACTGGAGAACCCAATAACTTCTGTCATTAGTCGTCAAATTATCGGAAAAGTGCGTCGCGGCTCGTCGAATCCATAGAAACGCTTCCGAAAGTTTTATTCGTTTTCTGGAAAGTTTTCCTGGAAAAGCGTTTTCCTACGCTTGGAAAATTACGTCTGCAGTCGGAACCGAAGATATTTCTGTGTATAGGCTGGTAGGTCGCAGCGTTTCATTGAATACAGGAACGTTAAATATTTTCCTCTCGAAAATCCCTTTTTTTTTGATTCTGCAACGTGTAATCCCATTTCTACGCGAAAAAATAAACCAAAATCGTTATACGAAGTAAAATCGTATGTACCATAGTTCCCGAGTTACAGAAGACCGAATACGACGTTCAAAGTGTTTGGGGCACGGGTAATCGCGAGACTCCTACATCAATCTCCTGTAACTTCGAACCTGTAAGGTATACGAGGTACTTTCGTACAACATGTTTTACTCATTTTTGTTTATAGATTCGCCATGCAAAGTTTCCACGCGCATTTATGAACAATGTTTTACAGCAAAGTAATTTACGAGTGGAACGAAAGATTGCTAATAATTTTGTATGGGTACCCCTCGATGGAAGGCCGCGATATTCGCAATTTTCTTGCAAAGGGGATGCATATAGACGAGCAATTTCACCTAGCAAGTTCTCCTTGATGTTTTCCACCACTTTGAGGATATCGATTCCGGAATAATCGCCCTTTTCCTTTATCAGGACCTCGACCGCCCCGGAACCAGTTCGTCTGACATGCCACGCCATTCTATCCGTGTATCCCTCTATAACGGTGATCACCGCCTCGCGAACCGTCCACAAAGACGCTGTCTTTGGCAAAGACAGTCTGCCACCGCAGTAACGACAACAGTGGCCTTCCACCTGATACATTTGAAACAGTTTCTTGACTCTGAATTATTTTTTCTTTCTCGTACTGATGTAATTTTATTTTTAGGGTTAACTTTAGGACTAAAATTGGCGTGGGGAAAAATAAAAAAGAATTCCTAATAGTGCAGTTTACGAGGAAAACTTAATGCGAGGAACTAATTCCATGAACAATTACTTCGAAAATGATTTAATATCCCGTGAATGGCCCAAAAATGTTAATTTTGAGCGCCCTCCTATTTAAATAAATTTTAAATTTAATTCCGAGCTATTTAAATATCTATTCATAGACTCCATTAATCGAACCGACTCTGAAAGGATACTCGCAAGGAGTGAATCCGCATTTTGGCCTCTCAATAGCGCAAATTTCCTCCAGGTAGTCGCCATTGGGATCCTCCTGACAGGGA